CTTGGCTCCCCACTTCAATGAATTGTTGGGGTTACTCGATGTACTGCATGTGGACTCAGTGGGAAGAGTGTGCCACAATTAATTATCTACGTTCAACATGGCCTTTGAAGGCAGGTTCTTTATTGGATACAACTTCCCACCTAACTTGTGAAATGTCTCTAGTCTACATAGCATCTTTCTGAGGTGATTTCTGCTTAAGCACATTCATTGAAACAGCTCACTTCCTATTTGGATTTCTACGTTTGTTATTAAGTCCTTCTCTGGGAAGGGGTTGGACTGATTTAGAAAGTTAATTCTGACTCTGCCACCGACTAATTATGTAACCCTAGGGAGTAACACTCTATTTGGACTTCAGTTTTCCACTGAGAAATGAAAAATGAAGTGAGTAACCACAAAGTCTCCTTCCAGCTTTAAGACTATTATTCATGAGTCAATATCTGCCTTTCAGTGTTAAAGTCTCCTTCCAGCTTTAAGACTATTTATTATTCATGAGTCAATATCTGCCTTTCAGTGTCACGTTCTACTGGCCTCAGCCACACAACCTGGCTTGCAGGAGAGCCTGTCAACTATCTGGGGACTTGTGGCCATCTAAGCTGTTTGTTCAAGGTGAAACATGACCGGTTTCTTTAATCATTTCTCGAATGGTAAGGTTTCTAGACTCTTCACCACCTTGGCCATTCTCTTCTGGACATTGAAGTTTTCCAGTGTCTCCCTGGAAGCGAAGTGTGCCTTCCGGAACTGGACGGCCAGTTGTGCAGTGGGAGTGTCCCCACTACTCACTCACGTGCTTGGTCTGGCCCTCCTGGCAGATGGGACCCATGTAGTGCACCATCCGAGGGGGGGCACCGGCTGAGACTGTGCCGGATCTGGGGATGTGCTGTGTTAGAGGCCCTCTTTCAGGCTGCATGCAGAACAGATGCAGGGAGCCACTGAGTCAGAGCTGGAGAGAGATGGTGTTTCTCTGCAGGCCAGTAAGTTACCAAGTGCTGATGAACCGAACAGGTGCTACTTCTACTAATGGTGGAAGAAAGATCTTCCAGAGATGTCCAGATGAATGTTTGCAGCCATTGTTTTTAAACAAGGCACTGGGTGCTCCTGTCTCCATTGATTAAAATAATGTCTCTCTAACCCTTTTCTTTTCTCTAACCATCTCTCCATTCTCTCTGACATCATGTCACATGACACCTTTGCCCCAGCAGCTCTTGTATTTGTCCTTTGCGCAGAAGGACAGATACAGAGGGTCTTGCTCAAGGAAAATATAACAAAAACAAGTAAAAGCAAAAACAGATTTGGAGAGGACTGGTCTTGAGCCTACTGGAAATAATAGTACAAAGGTTGCATAGGGCTCTCCTGGCCATCCTCATCCCAGGGAAGGGGAATTCTGAAGACTGCAAGGTCCCATGTGCTGTGACCCAACACCATTACTCTGACACTCCCTTTCCACTCTCAGCCCCTTGGTTGTTTTTTTTAAAATATATCTTATTGATTTTTTTATAGATAGAAAGGTAGAGAGATAGAGAATTGGAAACATCAATGAGAGAGAAACATCGATCAGCTGCCTCCTACACACCTCCTACTGGGGATGTGCTCGCAACCAAGGTACATGCCCTTGACCGGAATTGAAGCTGGGACCTTTCATTCTGCAGGCTGATGCTCTATCCACTGAGCCAAACCGGTTGGGGCTGTTTTTTAATTTATTTATTTTAATTGAGGTAACATCTATAATAATAAAAGCGTAATACGCTAACTAGACCGGACAGCCGAATGACCTTCTAGACCTCCTTCTGGACAACCTTCTGGATGGAGCCAGGGCTGCGAGGGCCAAGGCAAGCCACCATGGCTGCAAGGGCCGAGCCCCTTGCATGAATTTCATGCATCTGGCCTCTAGTTGGCTAATAACATTAAACAATTTCAGGTGTACAATGTTATAATTCTTCACCTTTACCCATTTCACCCTTCCCTTCTCCCCTTCCCTTCTCGTAACCACCACTCTGTGGTCTGTATCCATGAGTTTGTTTTTGTGTTGTTTTGTTTGTTACATTTTCATTTTTTTAAAATATATTGTATTGATTTTTTTACAGAGAGGAAGGAAGAGGGATAGAGAGTTAGAAACATCAATCAACTGCCTCCTGCACACCTCCCACTAGGGATGTGCCTGCAACCAAGGTACAGGCCCTTGACTGGAATCAAACCTGGGACCCCTCAGTCTGCAGGCAGACGCTCTATCTATTGAACCAAACAGGTTAGGGCTATTACATTTTCATTTTAAACAGAAAGGGAACCAATTGAATGGAAAAAATATTTGCAAATAATATTTATGTCCAGGGGTTAATATCCAAAATATATAAAAAATGTATATAACTCAACAACAACAAAAACCAAACAACTCAATTTAAAAAATGGGCAGAGAATCTGAATAGACACTTTTCCAAGGAAGACATACAGATGGTCAACGGGCATGTAAAAGGATGCTCAACATCACTAATTATTAGGAAAATGTAAATCAAAACCACAATAGGATACCACCCCACACCTGTTAGAATGGCTATGATCAATAGGACAAGAAATAACAAGTGTTGGCGAGGATGTGGAGAAAAGGGAACCCTGTGCATTGGTGGTGGGATTGCAAATTTGGTGCAGCCATTATGAAAACAATTTGGAGATTCCTAAAAAAAATTAAGAATATAACTATCATATGACCCAGCAATTTCACTTCTGGGTATTGATCTGAAAAATATAATAACACTAACTTGAAAAGATATATATAAACTCCTATGTTCATCGCAGCATTATTGACAATAGACAAGATATGGAAACAACCTGTGTCCATCGATAGACAGAAGCACAAAGAAGAGGTGGCATATATATTCAATGGAATATTACTCAGCCATAAGAAATGATAAAAATTGCCATTTGCAATAACATGGATGGATCTTGTGGATGTTATGCTAAGGAAAATA